GTCATTAACTAGCTGTAGTGGTATTTTTATTTTTTTATTTTCATTGTTGTTTTTTTTTGGCTTTGTCTTCATTTAATTCTTACCTCCTGCTCGTATTCTTATGAATGGGTCTTTTTAAAACTGTATGAATTGTCTGAGTGCAGACGGAGCTGGAGAGGTGTCCATAGGAGAGGAGATTTCAGGTCTACTCTGAATGATTCTGAATCTAGAGAGTGTTCTACTTTTTTATATTTGTTTTATGTGGAATTGGGAAGCAATTAAAACTCTCCAGAATCTTTATCCAACTGCTCGTTTGTGTCTTCGTTGTTCAATCTTCTCGGTACAAAGTCTAGTTTAATTCTGAAGATGCTGATCGGGTCGTTCCCTAAAATCAGGTCAGACGTTATAAACAGCTGGAACAGACTTTGTGGTTTTAGTTCAGTCCTGCATCACCGTCAGCTGCAATAGAGAAATGGGAAGTTCAAAAACCACTGACAGATCTGCCATAATTGTCTGTTAGGAGAAAAAACAGGCAGGAAGCAAACAGTCCTCTTATAAAACATTCAGAATGGTTTCAGATGTCCTTCCATTTAACTTAACATTTCTTTCTTTTAGTCTGATCAGCAGCCAGAAACAGTGAAGAACTCATATATTTGGAACCTGACATCCTTAAGTTGTATTTCATAGGTGTTGAACATCAATTATCAAACCCGTAGCTCGTTTCATTAGGAAGTATGTTTTTAACAGCCCATACTGAGTCGACAGTTCTCTGAAGACTGCAACGTGAACACTTCATTTAACCCTCTGAACCCAGTTTCTGAGTATCTTCTACTCACAGTGGGCTCATTTCTTACTGCAATATACAGTACAGCTAGAAGATCCCCAGTTCGCGTCCCGGTGAGGACACCCAGGTTCTTTCTGCGTGAAGTTTGCATGTTCTCCCCGTGCAGCAAAACATGTTGAGGTTAATTGGTGATTCTAAATTGTCTGTAGGTGTGAATGTGAGTGTGCTTGGTTGTCTGTCTCTAAGTATAGCCCTGTGATAGACTGGTGACCTGTCCAGGGTGTCTCCTGTCTTCACCCTGAGTCAGCTGGGATAGACTCCAGCCCCCCATGACCCTAGTGAGGATTAAGCGGTGTATAGATAATGGATGGATGGATGGATGGATGAACCTCTGTGGGAACAACACAACAACGGTCAAACAATAGAAAGAACTCTAAATTGTCTCTATGATGCAGTCTTGGTGCCATAATTCAATATAAAGAGAAAAAGCAACATTTCTGTATTTGTTAAACAAAATCTTGGATCTGGACTCATCTCGTCTAACACTTTCCCAAGAGCTCACAGGTGTTCACACTGTAAAAAGTGGCACCACAAACTGTAGATATTTGACTATTTAAATTTTTACAAGCTCCACTAAGCATTTTTTACATAACCAGCTGTGGGAAAATACTTCACCGTGCTGAATGTATCCTCCATCAACTTGCTCCTCTGTTTTTTACCCATGCTGCCTTTGATCTAGTACAGGGGTGGGCAATCCTGGTCCTCGAGGGCCACAATCCTGCATGTTTTAGATGTTTCCCTCGTCCAAAACACCTGATTTAAATGATCAGCTCATCGTCAAGCTCTGCAGAAGCCTGATAACGATCCTGATCATGTGAATCAGGTGTGTTGGAAGAGGGAAACATCTAAAACATGCAGGATTGTGGCCCTCGAGGACCAGGATTGCCCACCCCTGATCTAGTACATTTAATTTTTCCTTTTCAATCTTCCTATTTGTCTCCGTGCTTGGCTTCTGTCTGCTCTGTGTAACCACAGCCTGTGACCTGACTGTTAATCAAACCTGAGTCACTCGCGGCTTCTCCGGTGCTCTGAGAACTGCAGGATTTATTTATTTTTTTTTTTTTTACAGGATCTGGTGCAAAACCTTTATGAAATGTGAGATTTGGTTCAACTGCACTTCAAACGATTACTGCAAGGATCATCAGAAAGTACAAAATCCAGTGACTATTTTTTTAGTATGTGGCTCATATATAATGTCATTGTAGCATTCATTAAAGAGACAACATGTCCTTCACTGTGGGTTTTGGGGTTCCGGCAGTAAAACATAAAATCAAATTCCTCTTACATTTTATTCATTTAAGTGTTCAGTGTCCTGCTGTTTGTTAGATTTGTCTGTTTGTATCCCACAATGACATAAACAACACTGACAGAAACCTTCACACATTTATTTAGACATGAAAACAGAAGAGAAACTTTCCTTTAGTCCAGTTTTGGCTTTCAGAATTAGACTCGAGTGCAAAGGAAGATCTCGCATTTTATTTTACGATTTATTAATTTTTTAAAAATCTATTACAAAGTACCTTGTATGTCTTCTTTGGGGAATAAACCAAAGAAACATCAGTTTAGTTGATCCTCTTGAACACAGGTAGGTTAGGTTACATAAAAGTTTAAAAAAGAAAAAAAAACACTTTAACAGTCCAAAACATTCAGTAATGTGTAGTTATGTACCAGTGATTTGGCATCAGACACTCCACAGTACATCGTGACAGAATCCATACAGTTTATTCCTTTTATTGCACAAAACCTAAGACTGTCTCCGTCTGTAGGGTTTCAACATTGATCATACCTGTTTTAAAACATGTGCAGTCCTTAAGAAGGCAGCATTACATACAAAAACAAGGCACGAATAGGTAGTTAAAGCATTCTTTTTGTTTCATAGTGGCATAAGAGCATTCTTAATTTATCATTTCTTTAAAATGTATTAATATGTTTATCTGCTTATTTTAACTAACTACAAACAGTCTGGCTTCACTTCCAGGAGCTCGTGTCTGAAGGTTTTTAGGAATCTAAAAAACAACTGGTATTCATGTTATACATCTTATTTGGAGTATGTTGGTGTCGTAGCTTTTATAGTGGTTTGAGAACAACAGGTCGACACACGGATGTGCCTAAAATAATGTGACAAGACATTGAGAGATTTTGCTCCAGTGAAGACTGACCCAGAAACAGTTTCAGTGATTAATTAAAACTATCAACAGGTTTTGTTGTCAGTCCCACAGAATCAGAAAGAATCAGTTCTTTTCTGTAAACATGACATGAATTCACTGCAGCTTAAGGACCAGGATGTAGGATTTAGGAGGCTACAGTTATGTCTTCATTACTAATTATCACCTACAAATCATGTTTTTGTTTGCTTAGATGGAGCCCCTTTTTAGGAGTGGAGACCCCAAAGTTCACACTGTGCCTGTGAACTTAAAGAAATAACCTGATTTACATGTGGCTGCCATCCCCCATTGAGGTAGTTTCGCTGTGCAGAGATACACTGCTCTCAGTGCTCCCGCTATGTTGGTTATGCTTCCTGAAAGTCCAGAGGGCTGTACTACGAAGCAACATTAGTGGGTTAGCGAGGTTTGCTGAGCCTAAAGTCAGAGTTTCCTGTTATAAATGTTTATATTCGGGCTGCAGGGTGGCGCAGTTAGTTAGCACTGTTGCCTCGCAGCAAGAAGGTCGCCGGTTCGCGTCCCGGTGAGGGCACTGGAATCTTTCTGCGTGGAGTTTGCATGTTCTCCCCGTGCAGCGTGGGTTCTCCAAAAACATGTTGAGGTTAATTGGTGATTCTAAATTGTGTGAATGTGAGTGTGCTTGGTTGTCTTTCTCCAAGTGTGGCCCTGCGATAGACTGGTGACCTGTCCAGGGTGTCTCCTGCCTTCACCCTAAAAGTCGGCTGGGATAGACTCCAGCCCCCCATGACCCTAGTGAGGATTAAGCGGTGTATAGATGACGGATGGATATTTATATTCCTCATTGTTCTCCATTAAAACAAAATGTTGACTGAACACAATCGATTCATTTTGTGCAGAAGAAGAGTCACAGGACGCATTAACCGACTCCTTTTATGTGAAGTCTGATGCAGAAAGTCTGAGCTGACAAAGAAAGTTGAAAACCACCTTCATGATACTCGTGGTCTCTGACTGGGGCTTTAGTTTCTGTCAAGCCAACTTGCCAACTTGTCAAACTTGCTTCGTAGTGCAGCCCTCTGGTCTGTAACCATATCAAGCAGCATCTGTGAAGAGCGCTAAATCTATTAGAAAGTGTCAACATGGCAGCCCTTCAATTTGAATTTCATTTTAGGGAAAAGAAAGAAGTCACAGGGAGCTAAACCTAGCTAGTGGTGTGAATGAAGAAGCAACGTTGTCTGGGCCAGAAAACCCAAGTTTATCACCACAGTGTGACTGGAGCTCCTACAAGCTGTCACAGGTCAGGTCGAATGTTCTCCCTGGCCTCAGGACGTCACAGTAGAACTCTAAGGGAAGAATTAATTCATTCATTCAACAAACATGCCACCATGGGCTCTCCTGTACGCTTGGGAAGAAAGGGTGGTTTACAGGTAGTTGCAATCTGCAACCTCACTGCTAGATGGAACTAAATCCTACGTACTGGTCCTTTATAGGGCTGCTGTGTGGTGCAGTGAGGGAGTGTGGACACATGAATGCTCACGACGGCGTGGCACGTTGAGAATCTACATACACTTAAAATTAAAAATATGTCCGTAGTGGTTCTGTAAGGAGCGAGCTTTCCTTTAAACACCAACCTACCTGATCAGCCGGGTGATCGATACCCATGTAAACAACGGAACTACGTGCTGCTTTGAGGAAACTCGGTGTTCCGGCGTTTCCCACCAGCAACTTTTTCTCACCACAGTAATGAATGTGGATGAATCCGAAAAGTCTGCAGCATCTTGTCGAGTAATTCTGTGGCATAATTCTGCAGCACCAACACATTCAGACTAACAGCATTATTTAGTACGCTTGTTTTCTATCCTACTACCTGAATCAAAGGTAAGTTAAGTGCTTTAAACAATATCCTGTTACAAAACTAAGATGCCACAATGATTTAAATACACATGATTATTACATTCTGTTTCCATAACAGACTGGTTACTAACTAAAGTGGCTGGAAACACAAGTTCACCTCCTTCAGACGACTTATTTGTACATTAAAAAAAAACAAAAAAAACCAGATTATTACGTTTACTTGTTAGAAGCAACAGCATACCCCAAATGTTTGGCCCAAATGTACAAAAGAATCAAAGTGTACAGGAATGTCTTGCTTTGAAGAACAACAACATAGAAACAGTTTCATCGATAAGTTACCAAAGTGGTGACTAAACCCAAAACAAACTACTCTGGTGCGATCTCACCCATAATGCCCTTTGTTTTTAACGGTTTCACGTCTCCAACAGCGGATCGCTCTCACTGCCGGATGACTCGTTGCTCTGTTTAGTCCCGTACATCGCTTGTTCTTCAGCCTCCAGTCGTCTGTAGCGAGTGTGGAAGAAGATGAGGAAGCAGCAGGTGAACAAACTGCAGAGTCCTGCCATCACCATCATGGGCACTGAGGGAAGGAACCAGAAGGTCCACATTAAGTCCAAAACGATGTTTGCTCACTTAAGTACCATCTTATTCTGAGTATGAAGCTTAAATCCATTCCAAAACGTTTCCAGTTTGTTCTATAATCTTAAGCTCTTTTTAGACACGGGATACGTAACATTACTGGCTTTATCAGCCTGCTAAAGTGATCATTCTGTCAGTTAAGACACAGGCCACTCTTCCATTTATTTTCCTCTCGGCATCATTCAGAAAATGACAGGCTGACATCATGGCTACACATGGAACGGGCAACAGTCACAATTCAGAGAGCAAAACATTGGATTAGATGGAGAGAAATAATCGCCTTCACTGAATGGCATGGCACTTGATTGAGTTTACATGGTGTGGCGTGGAGCTATTAATGTGAAAAGCTACAAAGACTGTCCAACAATAAAAACACACCAGCAGGCAGAGTAACGTAACTCCAGTTAGAGGTTTGATAACATCCTGTGACCTACCTCTCCAGCTCAGGACGGCGTCACCGCAGGTGGACAGAGGAGAGTCAGTGAGCGGTTTGGTTAAAGCCTGAAGGAGGATGATGTAGAGAACCGACTGAACCTGTCTGGAAGAAGGAAACGTGACTTGTTACATGAGTTTTACACGAACAGATCCAGTTGACGAGATGATCAGTGTTACGATGACTGTTAAAACAGCAGAAAATGTTTAACCCTCCTATTGCCTTCAAATTTACTGACATCTTTTATCCTTGGGTCCAATTTGACCCCAGCTATTTAAACCTCCAGAAAATCATCATTAAAATTGTTACCCAGGTTTATGTGTAAATAGGCCTTTCAATAAAACTGAAAAAATGAAGTCAGTGACTTATTTGGAAACACTGAATGCGGTCAAATTGACCCCGAATATGATAGAAGGGTTAAAGTGTCTTTCACGACACAAGCAGCTCTACTTTATTTATTTATTTTTACATACTTTTTCAATACTTTTTAATTTACTTTCCTAGTATATTATGAGCTGTGGCCTGTCTAGTGTAACGTAGCAGACGTGTTTTCTCTCAACAGAAGCCTCATACAGGCATGACATTAGCAAACAATGGTGTGAAAATCATCTTACGTGGTCCTGCTCATTCAGGGTATCTGCAGATTTGAGGGATTTAAAACCTTTTAGGAGCTTTTTTAACATCTATATGATAAAATATTTTCATTTTACAACACTGTATTTAAAACCCTGCAACAGTGACTCTAAAGTTCAGGACTTTGGCAGAGTTTTGGCTGCTAACGTGGGAATTATTGAAATAAATGCTAAAACCGTACATACAGAAGGATAATGTTAGAGTTAACTGCTGCTTTTAGTGATATGTTACTTACTGCAGCTATAGTACCAAAACATTCTCCTACAAAGTTAAAGCTTGTCACTAAACAATGATGCGTATTCTTGTTATCTTCTTTTCTCTAACCTGGAGCTATCTAACAATATCCTGCTGGAGTCACTCATGTCACATCAAAACCAAAAACCAGATTGTAACATGCAAACAAAACAAAACAAACAACAACAAAAAGCCCTAAATAGATGTCATTATCCACCTCTGGAACATTTGAAGTCCTTGAAAAGATGGATTGAAGGAATCAAAAAGTACAATTAAGGTAAATTAGGGCTAAATTTTGCATCAATTAATAATCTGCACATACCTCAGATTAGATAGAACTCGACCAAAGGGATCAATAAAGTTCTATCTAATCTAATCTAACCTTATTGCTGTACAAAGTCCAGATGTGTTTTGATAAGCTTTGACTTCTGATCAGACTGTAGACTTCAGTTTATCTAATTATGTCAGGCTGTATCATGTGTGTACGTGGTGCTCAGGTGGTAGTACCCTGATATGAAGATAAGCCCAGCGGATGTGGCTTCTCCAACTGGATACGAACACTCCACGGACAGCTCCATCGCCACCGGGTAAATGGAGAAACCAAACAAGCCAAAGAGAGAGCAGACGGCGGCCACGGCGGCTTTCTGCTGCGGCATCAGAGACACCTGAGAGGCAGACAGAAGGAAAGCTCTGAGCTGAAATGCAAAATCATTAACAGCAAAAGTCCTCTAAAGCTTTCTTAACAGGTGATATCTATATAGCGTTTCTCATATTGAGTAACTACCACATACCAAATTTTAATATATGCACACATTAAATATAAGAGACGTCTTAAACAGGTTTCTGCCTCTCCTGCACAACTAAAGTCCACTTTAGACTGATGTACAGTTTGTGTAAATGTAGGTAATTATACTGTTCCCTCCACTCTTAACAATTAATGGATGTATGGTTTTTTTGTGTTTTGTCAGGTCAAACACTCCTTTTCTAGATATGCTACCACAAAGGGCATGCTGTTGTTATTTCACTGGTTACATTACAAAGAGGGGCACCTGTTAATATGACCTTTGAACACATTAATACATGCAAAAAAATTACAAATTTAATTGTATACAGTTTTTTTTTTTTTTAAACGTACAATATAACCAGAACGTGTTGTGTGTCGCTATTATTTTTCATCTTCTGTCATTAACATTTAAGTAACAGCCAAGGTTTTTGTCAGCTTGCTCAAAAATGTGTTAATTAACTGGACACCTTACAAACAAAAGATTAATACTGGCTTTTCAACAACAAGAAAACAACTCTTTGAGGCGGTTTTACTAGTTTGGCGATGCACAGAAATAATCCCATCCATCCATTATCTATACATTGCTAAATCCTCACTAGGGTCGTGGGGGGCTGGAGTCTATCCCAGCTGACTTAGGGCGAAGACAGAGGACACCCTGGACAGGTAACCAGTCTATCACAGGGCTACACTTAGAGACAGACAACCAAGCACACTCACATTCACACCTACGGACAATTTAGAATCACCAATTAACCTCAACATGTTTTCGGACCTTGTGGGAACCCAGAGAGAACCCACGCTGCACAGGGAGAACATGTAAACTCCACACAGAAAGATCGCGGGTGTCCTCACTGGGACGTGAACCGAGGACCTTTTTGCTGCGAGTTGACAGTGCTAACCACAGCCACCTTGCAGCCCATAATAAACTTAAAATATCTATAAAATACTGCCATCAGAGCATACTTGAAAATGTGACAACCTAAACACCACAATGCTACCATACGCTCTATTTATGAACAGCCCAGAGAGCTGGAAGGGATCCAGTGCCTTGCTCAAGGGTGTGAAAGTGGAGCAGATGTTAGCAGAGTGTGTTGCTGAATGGCACTACTTTTGTCTCTCTCTCTCGTTTATGTTCGCTTACATAACAGAGGCTTCTTCGTGAATCGTTCAGGAACCACAGCTGGTGTCACGATGGAGGTCCACTGGAGAATTAGCTGTTTGCAAATAACGTCTAAATATAAAACAGGCCGGTTGGAAAACGCACACATTCTCAGGAAACAGTGCAGCGAAATGATCCAGGAAACGTTCTCTGATGAGGCCAGATAAGCTGCTCTGTCCGTGGTCTGTCGGTCACACCTGTAGCTGATTAAATTAACAGGCCATTGGATTTTAGTTATGGTGTAAAAAACAAAATAATTAAGCTGAACGAAAATCTGAATGTTAGAAAAATTGCGAAAACTGTGTAAAAACTGTAAAAGATATCAAAACATGGATTTAGTCAAATAATATTCAAAGCATTTAAACTTTGAATGACGTTTCTACTGTAAAACATGCCAGAGCTACAGGGCTCCACAGATGGCTGGGCTTTGGCAGCTGTTCCCATTCATTTCAAATGGTATTTTTGATTGACCAAAAGACACTGCATATTATTTCTGATCGAGCTGTACATTTTGGTATAAAGTTTGTATGTGACGCCTCAAAGCTGCATGACAGGTTAGATGCCGAACATTGTGTCAGAAGAATCTATAACAGGACTGAGTCTGAGGAATAGCAAAAAGCGTGCTTCACTGCTTATGCATTGGCACACTTAATTAATCATTTATCAGTTTTTACTGCTGATTGAGTAACTGGCCACTCAGAATCTAAAACGAATGGTTCAATCTAACGTTCACCACCAACACAATCAAAAAACTTACAACATTGATTGTAATGTATTGCACCGTCTTTGGTGCAAGGCCACACTTTATTTCCACTCGCTAAACCACTTCATATAATGGTGATTTTCTCTTTTATTGCCTCTTTTGGTAGCTCTTTTATAAACATTTTGGTTTTTACGAGCATATAATAGAACACCAGTGGAGTACAGCGCTGTTTGCCTGAATACTGGTTACTGTGATATGTTACATCAGTCGGTAAAATGTAAAATCCAGGGCTTCCGGTTTAAAATCAGTCTTAAAAGGAAGAAAAAAAACAACCAAACTTTTTCTTTTTGTATAGCTGGTGTATTCTAAATAACCTCATAGAGCGATCAAATTCTTCCTGTACTGTGTGCTGCATTCGCATGACAGTGAAACTTATCTGATGAGAATAAATAACAAGAGCGTTCTCTTCAAAGTGTTTGCACATCAAACACTGAGCGTTCTCATTTCCTTTGCTTACCTCGTCTCACGTTACAGCCCTGCACTTCGAACTCTTTCACATAAATATACACTGCAGCCCAAAAAAACCTGTACGTCAGCCTCCAAGATGCTTGAAGATGGCTGGAAATCCACTTTCGCTTTGGGGACTTATGTTTTCTCTAAGAAGCAGCAGATTGTCGACGTCTCTACATAGAAAACATTTCTGACAGCATGTGTAAGAGAGCGTGTCAGTGACTTTGTATCCAAGAAAACCTCCTCTCTCACTGAGCGCTTTATCGGGAACACCAGTACACCTGTTTATTCATCCAATCATCCCATCAGCCAATCACAGCGCAGCAGTGTAGCGTGACATTGTTCGGATACGGGTCAGGAGGCTCACTTAATGCTCAAACATCACAATGAATATTAGTGCAAGGTGAACTGTGTGTGTGTTTCTGAACCTGGATTTTCCCCACAACAGTTTACTAAGTAGGATGAAAAATAACAAAAACCCATCAGAGCAGCAGGTCTGAGGGCAGAAACACACTGTTAATGCAAGAGGAGAATGGACGGACAGGAACTCAGGTAACGACACTTTACAAGTTAGCTGGACAGAACTCAGGATGGACTACAGCAGCAGAAGGTTGTGGTTTCAGAAGTGTGAGGCTGCAGTGGACTCACCCACACTGGACAGCTAAAGATGAAAAAAACATATCCTGCTCTAAAGAAATTCTGCTGAGGCTGCAGATATCCATCAGAATCAACAGCCAATCTGCTTTGTGTCAACAGTCCAGGCTGCTGCTGGTGGTGGTGTAATGGAGAGGGGAATGTTTTCTAGGACAGCTTGAGCCACTAAAACCAATCACGGTTTGAATGCCGCAGTCTGAGTGCTGTTGCTGACCTGCTGCTAGCTACGTCCAGCAGGACAAATCACGACATCACGAAGCTAAAGTCACCTGAAACTGGGTTTATGAACACAACAGTGAGATGAGTAAACCTCGGTGTGTTCCAGAGTGAGATCTGAATCCAGCAGAACACCTTTAGGATGTGTTAAAATGGGAGATTGACAGCATGAATGTGCAGCTGACAAACCTGCAGAAATTATGTGATGCGATCATGCTGACATAAAGAAGAATCTTAGAGAAATGTCTTCAGAATCTCCTCAAGCTGTGAGGTTGTGTTCAAAGCAAAGTGAGGCCTTACCTGGGATGCGTATGGTGCTTCTAATACGTGTAACTATATACTACACACTGACAGTCACAGGTCATCTACTCTGCTTTGAGTAACAAATAAAAGAGTGCTCTCACCACTGAGAAGGCGATGCATGACAGAGCAGTGAAGCCCATGTTGATCTTTGTGGCTTCGATGAACTTCTTGGTCTTGTCGACGTACAGACCCAGAGCACCAGCGCCGATGACCCCGAACACGATGAAGAGAGCCCCGCACAAGCCAGCAAAGTCCTGCAGAGGTCAGATTTTATAGGTCTATTAAGTAAATGACCATACTTAGCAAGTGTTTCAAAAACATATAGAGGAAGGTCCATCCAGTTTTTTAATGATCTGTGGTCTCTCTTCACAATTTTTCAACTCTTAACAGTTTTAGTCTCAACTCTGCTGTGTGTGTTTTTCTTTTTATTAAATTGGCTTTAATTCTGCCCATCCATATATATCGTTCCTCTTGGTAATCGGGATAGTGTACTTACGTTGCTGTATCCTTGCACACACAGGATCTGCTCCAGCAGTGTAGAGAAGCAGGTGAAAACAGCGATGCCCGAGCCAAAACACAGCAGCAGGATGAGGTAGGCTTTGTTCTTCAGTAACTACAGAGGAAACAGACCGGTGGATTTGTGAGAGAAGCCTCATGGGAAAACAGACTCACTGCAGCAACAGCATTCAACAAGATAAACATGCACAGACAGCAGAGAAAATGAGGAGTGCAACAGACAATAAACAAAAGGATGATAAAACAATTATGCTGCCAAAAAAGAAAGTAAAGGAGGTTTAAAGAAATTTGTTTGGGTTTTTGCAGGTGCGAGCTGATACCTGTCTGTTTTTACTGTCTGCTACCCTGCTTTGCTTCATTTACACCCACCACAGAAATGCAATTCATGCCTCAGGTAAACTTACAAAGTGTAAAGAAAGGTGACAGTGGGAATATGAAATGTGCCAAAACTACCACCATGCAGTTTGCACTAAGGCTCTAAACCCCCAAACCTGCTGACGCTATGAAAGGCATGCTATCTTTTTAAAAAAAAAATTAAACCATTATTAGAGCTAGAAACTGTGAAAATAACTGTGAAAACCAAAAGAATGAAACAGTCCTTGAAGTAATCATGTTTGCCGTGCAGTTCCATTGGGAAAATTAACCAAGTTGAAGCTTAAAATTGTGATATTTTATTAAAATCACTTTATTCTACATGCCTCAAAAACTAAAATCTGTGCTCCTCCTCATGACTGAGAAGCCATGATTCAATCAGCTTTGACCAGCAAAAAGTCTGATTTTTTAGTTGAAGTGCAGGCTGTGTTTATACACAATGGATAGGAAACAAATACGGGCACAAATTATAGATATTGAGAGTAAAATGAAACATACTTGAGCAATGAATAAATGGAGCATTTTCCAAGAACAGTGTGTAGAGAAGCAAGTCATTAGAAGATAGACAGCACAGTGAAACATCTTTGGGGAGTTGATTTGTAAAGGAGCTTCAAAGACGCTTGTGGAGTTTGTAAAAATGCAAATAGTTAAATATCAACAGTACGTAGAGCCACCATTGTAAGGACATAGAAAAATGTTGTATCTATAGATTCCAATTTTTCAACTTTCGTAAAATATAACAATAAAAAATTTTAGTTTTTTGTGTTATTTATTTGTGATTTATGCTATTAAAACTGCGTTGTGCTGAACAGAAACTATTTTCGACTTCTCTCTACTTCTAGAAGAGGCTGTGCTGTTTCCACAGAGGAGCAGGACTTTATGCTGCAGTGAAAAAGTGAATAAAAAATGTGACAGGAGCAAAACAACAGTCACAAACTGCCTGGGATATAACAAGGACCTCCCCTTGTGTAGCAACACAATTACACCAAGCAGAAGTGAAGCATCAGCACCACATTCAGGTGGAAAGGTCATGGAGGCAGATGGAACATCCCCACTCCAGACACACTCGTCATCGCCTCTGTTAGAAGCGTCCCTGCTGCAGATAGAAATGTCAGCCGCTGCAGGTAGAAACCACATCAATGCAGCTACACATGCTGCTGGTGCAGACAGGAGCTCGCAAATGTCACCATCAAACAAACGACTGCTGCTGGTAGAAATGTCAGAGCTCAGGTTTGAAACTGATTTTGTTTATTACGGTTTAATTCCTTTTCTTTCTTTTCATTAAATTGTCTGGTATACATACATATATACATATACACCCACATATATACGCATATATACATATATAGAGTAAATGTAGAAGCAAGCAATGAAATCACTGCATGCAACTGGGTGCTCGTTCCTGATACTGTTTTGTAGTGACTGTTTCTGTTTTGTCAGCATCTGCCGCCATGGTTACATCTGCAGTTGCATTGGTGACAGGACATGTTCTAGGTTTGATGTTATGTTGTCACTTCATTTTTGAGCTTCTGCAGTGGGTTCAACCTCTTAGGGTACGATCACAATAGTTTACTTTGTCCTTTAGACAGCTTAAAGGTTGCTAAAATAATCTTGAACCTAAAAGCAGCTTGTTTCAACTCTTTATTGCATCTAAATGATGTTTACACTCAGAGGAATACTCCAACACTAGCTATTGTGGAGCAGATATCCATCCATCATCTATACACCACTTAATCGTCATTAGGGTCATGGGGGGCTGGAGTCTATCCCAGCTGACTTAGGGTGAAGGCAGGGGACACCCTGGACAGGTCGCCAGTCTATCACAGGGCTACATTTAGAATCACCAATTAACCTCAACATGTTTTTGGACTGTGTGGGAGGAAGCCGGAGAACCTGGAGAGAACCCACGCTGCATGGGGAGAGCATGCAAACTCCACACAGAAAGATCCCGGGTGTCCTCACCGGGACGCGAACATGCGACCCTCTTGCTGCGAGGCAACGGTGCTAACCACTGCTCCACCTTGCAGCCCTGGAGCGGACATATTTGGTAATTTTGTAATCTACTCTGGAAATAAAACTTTTCCGTTTGGATGCAAAACATTAGATCTAATGTGTAAAGTTGTGGACCAGACAGCTAAACAACCAGCTGAAACTCACTATAAAGCTCAAGGAAGAGCTGCAGAGTCTTCAACGTCATCGCGTTGCTTTCATGTTGTCATTTGAGTCATTGTGATTATGAAAGCTGATTTGAGTGATTTGGATTCATTTATTACCACAAATTCACATAAAAATCTAATTGGTGCAGCTTCAGATTGTGAGTTGGCGGTATTCTCTTCCATGTGTGTTCTTACCAGTTTGATCCCCTGAACGTAGGGCTCTGATCCAGAGCACTCGGCGCTAGCGGATGGCGGCGTGGGGGGGGCGCTGCTCCGTATCCCCACTGTTGCTAGGAAACAGATGATGCATGTTGGGACTGCATAGGCAAGCAGCTAGAGGAGAGGAGGAGAAACACATGTAATGTGGTGATAAATGGGTGTTAGCACCTTAAATCAAAGACAATTTATCATCATTAGCAGGTGAGGTGACCAGAACCACTGTTCAGCTGCTGCAGTGTTTTGTGTGAGCGGGTGCAATCCCACAACTCCCTGTGGGAATCGTCTAATTCTAAACCTATGGGGGATTGTTTTTTCTTTCAGATTTTTGTTTTTTGTTGCCTCTCACTACAGGGGAATCAAGAGAGGAGAGCCTAACACTTCAATGTGGGGACACTGCAGCTACCTGTGTGTCAACATCAGGACATCTGTTTTTTAACATCACTCTTTGTATCCAACAGTGTGTTATATTTAAATATATTTTCTTACAGCTGGCATCATCTGGAAGATATTAGTGACCCCAAGACAAATCAGGCCTAATGAGGAAATCTCATCTTCCTCCTCTCTGCTCTTGTAAACTCACAGGTAGTTTTCCAGCTCACATGTCCAAATTGGAAAGCTGGATGATCTCACAAACATCACGTTGTTCCGAGAGAGATTTGGCTTAGATTAGAGATGCTCAGATTAGTCAGAACTTGTCTAGAAGTCTAAATGTCTTGGCCATCTGAAAAAGGACTCATTTGCGATGAGTTCTCAATAAATTAATGCTTCTTTTTTGGAATTTTTTTGTAACTAAAACTGACTTAACTCCTCAGATCCCTTCACTCCAGTAAAAAACCTTTGTAAAAGGGTAAAAAGGGAAGAAACGATGAATGATGAAACAGATTTGGGAAAAAAAAAAATGTGGCCACAGTTAATTTCCTGTGTCCTTGAAGAAACTTTTTCTTATTATTTCTCCACAGTATTATCAGAAAACCATACGTTATGAGCCACGTTCCCCCTCTTTGTCAGTTGGTAGCACTGAGTGTTACCATGGAAACTGTAGATTAACTTTTTAGGCTTAAAATAAGTCTAATTTGCATTAGAGTGATAACATTATTAAATTATAGCCTGCTCTAGGCTGCAGAAAAGAAAAACAAAAAGGTGCCTTAGAGCCAAAAGCTGAAGGATGTTTTGAAAAACGTCAGTTTGTCCAGAATCAGAATCTGTAAAACTTCTACAAAACTCACTGTCACTGTAATAGTCACTGAATAGTTCTGATTTGGTAGGTGTAACCCTATTACAAGTTACAGTGGGCTGTGTGCAAATACCATCAAGAACCAAAAAGAGAAGTCAATTTTTTTTGTTTTGTTTGACAAATTAGCAAACTACTGTGAATTACACATGCAACAGACATAGAGCAACATTAACATGAACTGTTTCAGCTCCACAAACTACTGAGGAAAGTATTCTTAGCTGCTAAATGCTCTGTTAAATTCACCAGCTAGCTGTTAACTGGTACTGAACAGTTGCGGAAATGTCCTGAAACAGTAAAACAACCACCTAAAAGAGGCTAAAAGCTCCTGGCTGATAATTCTCAATGCATTTCTCCCTACACCTCCTCCTCCTTTCACAATAAACGTCCCTATTTAATGAATGAACCGAACCTGCTCCTGTGTTTGTTCGGTATAATAGTTTATAATTTAAAATATCGTGTGGATACTCTGCTGATCTTTAGTGCACCAATTCCTAGATGTGAACACAAAGTGATCAAATTGCACCACACAGCAAAAGATACAAATTCTGATGATGAACAGTGGATGTCCAGACTCCTATGCAGGGCGAGGAGTGCTGTCTTAAGACTTGGTTTTAGCTGAACTCACCAGTATCGGGATGTGGGCAGATGTTTCCGCCATCATAGGAGAGATGATGTTAGCAAGGAGGACGCCGAGGGGATTGGCTGTGAAGGGAAAACAGAAGTGGAACTGAAGGGTTATTCTGGTTTCCACCCTATGCTGAGAACCAGCGCACTCTGATATGACTTTCTGTTCCCTGTTTCGGTCGTCTCAGTGACAATATGAAATATGTCAAAACAGCTTATCTGAAAGAAAAACCTTAACTCACCTTCTGCTTTAGATTTTCAACTTTCTCTAACATGCCTTTCTTTCTTTACTCCATCAACATTAATGTCTTTTTTATATTCCTGTACACAATGAAAGCTTAATTTAAAGATATGAAGATCAATATTTATCTCTGAGCCCAAACATTTTGTTGTTCACATACAGCGCCCTCCATAATTATTGGTGAAGATGTGTTAAAAGCCTTAAAATAAATTCAATTTTTATTGCAGAAGCATCCTCTCACACTGACAACTGTAGAAAAATGTAACCTTCAACTCAAATGAATTGTTGGCAAAAGGGGGTTGTACAAAGCATTAACATCAAGGGTGCTAATAATTGTGGCACACATGATTGAATGTAAAACAATTATTTTTTAATGTGGGATTTTTTTCACACTGAATAAATGCACCTGAATTAAAGGTCGAATTCTCCTCTTTTTTTTCATTGTGGTCCTATATTATTTAGAAAAAACTGAATTTACTAGAAGCTAAAGAACACATCTTAACCAGCCAATAATTATGGAGGGCGCTGTAAGACTCTGCTGACGCGCCAAAATGTGAGTGCTTTTGTGCCCTTGGCAGCATGTGTTGAAACTGGCACAGCTCCTATTTAAATTCTACTAAAACTGTACAAATCTGATGGGAGATGTGATCACTGACATGGCATATATTTGTTTAAAAAGATGAACAGTTGCAATAATTAAACTGTGCTTTATTTAACTTAAGTTGCTTAATGTTTGGGTCAAGTAAATTGGAAATAAAAAAAAAGATGAAGAAACATAAAAAAAAAAATGAGTGAATCACAACAAAAGCTGCAACTCTACAATCCACATGTCACTGCTTCTGCATTTTCTGTTCATAGCTTTGATCATTTCTTTGATTTTAGAAAGCTGCTCCACCGATCCGTTGCATTTTCACAAAAAAAAAAAAAAAGACTGTATATTTTAAAAAAACAGAAGAAAAGTTTTTTAAATTCCAAACATCTAGCAAACTGCAGTCTTTAAAGACCGAGTACTTGCTCTGGTAGCTATTTAGTAAATGTTAGGGTGACTTACACATAGAGGCGATCATGTTGGCTGTGGCACGCTGATGGTCAGGGAACCACAGAGCTGCCACCTTGGTGGGAGTGAAGATGATGAGGGGCTGAGCCACGGCAGCCAAGGTCTGACCCAACATCACTATCGGGAAATAGTTGGTATAACCCGGTAATGATGCCGTGCCGGCGTAGCGCATCAGAGCTCCGAGCATGTTCAGCCAGGAACCGAGGACCAGCTGGGGAGATGGCAGGAGGGTGAAAGGTCAAAATGCTGCGACAAGAGTCAGGAGGTATTCTCTCCAGCTAACTGCAGCAACTCTCAGAGATCACCTGTCTGTCAAGAAGTGTTTGTGGAAGGTTTTCTTCTGTGTTGAGGTGCAGACAGACAAAACGGACCCTCAACGGTTAAAAGCATTTATTTAAAAATGTTAATGTCCTTGCACTCAACTCAGCCTCATGACATCTCTCCTGCTCTGCTGTCTGATATTTTTACAGCGCAGTCATAAAACAAGAGTAGAGACAATCAATATTTCCTGAATAAGAGGCCAGTCCCCCTCCTCCCCCTCTCTTGGTAATTTTACGTCAAAGAGCATCATTGGTCGATATGCAACCGGCTGCAAGAACACAGAATTTGTAGAATTTCCTGGTAGATGAAATGAGCAGATAATACAGAGTCAACAAAACCTCTCTCTCACAGTTTTAATCCTATTCTTTTTTTTAAAAATCTTGTTGGTGCAAATTTAAGTCTATTATTATATTTTATGTGAAGCGGTTAGCACTGTCGCCTCCCAGCTTGAAGGTCCTGGGTTCGAATCTTCGTAGGTGTAATTGTGTGTGTGTTTGGTTATCTGTTCCTCTGTGTGGCCCTGTGACAGAATGGTACTTCTTAAAAAGATGTTGTGTTCAGTTTCCCACTCAGACATAACAGCATGCTGTTTTTTTATTCCTGGATTCAACCTCCACCTGAGCCTTTCGGAAACACAATCTATAGACTAATTATATCTTCCCAAGCACTGTTTATTTCCTCCACACTTCTAAAACCAGCTGCTGCTTGGTTAAAACTTTGTAGTCATGAAAAACCAACCCCAGGACCCACAGTGGCTCATACAAACACACTCAAGGAAGACATCTACTGTATTTCTCAGTAACATAAAAACGATGAGAGAATAGCAGGGTACATATTTAGTTTTTCTGGAAAACTGAGGCCCATTACACAACAACATAACCTTCACCAGAATCCCTGGTGACCTGCCTCCCTGTCTCATTTGTCAGAGTGCAGTTTGTACCGTGATCCGTAAGCCGAGCGTGTCCAGCATCCAGGTCGTCCCAAAGCTGAGCGGTATGGCCACCACCATGAAGACCAGTGACAACCAGTTGATCTCCTGCAGAGTGACCTTCAGGAACTGGGCCGACTGGTCTGCTACTGGTGCAAAGGTAAGCCATAGCTGGGAAGACACATAAAAATTATTACAAATGATTAGTTACTTTTAACTCTCAACATCATTTTTAATACCAGTTTACACAAATAAACTTACTATAGACTGATGTTAAAGTTAATCCTGAGTTTTGAGAGCTCAACATGAAATCAGACCAGTCAGAATAAAGCCTGAATTGCCTTTTACAAATCTGCAGCGTGCAAAGCTTTGAGCTGAGCCCAGTCACGAATTAAAATGTCCTTAAAACGGTAAAACCAAGGACTTATTTTAGCAGGATGCCAACACAGATGTTCCAGTATTTGCTTTCAGTTAACGTGCACATTTGATCAATAATGTGAATTAAGGGCTTATCACAGAGTAATTGAGCTGCAGCTCTATTAAATGTGTGCATAACAACCATTTCACTGAATAATACTGATTCTGTTAAACGTAAACTGCATATTTAACTTCCTCACATTTTCTGATGAGGTCATTTTCACATTTGTAAACCTAGTGATTTCACGTGTGGTTAAACTGCTGACACTTTTGCAGTGTGTTATTTCAGTGGTTAGTTCAGCCAAACCGGATCCACTTTGCACTTTACTGATCTGATTTCCTCAAGTATGTTTTAGTCTTCTGACAGTATCCTAAACATAACGTCTGGGCTGAGCTGAAAAAGAAATAACGTACATGATTAATCCTCCCTCATGTGTTCTCTCTCACATGACGCCTCCTAACAAGCATGTCACTCTGCCGAGCAACAGGACATTATCACGCGACTAGAGGCTACAATACATCACAGTAGTTGATGAGAGGATGAAAAACATGTTTAAAGAAAGACTGGAGCCTGTTGAATGTTCTGTTTTACACCAACTGAGGGTATTCTGAAAATAAACTCTTTTACATAAGGCCTCTTTGCTTTTGCCCTCCTGTACTATAACTACATCCTACTGTTTACACCAACTGTATCTACTGTCACTAATGTACCATGACCTGACCTGCAAACTCAACCCTGAGACGACAAAGGCAGCACCTGCACTGTTCTCTGTGTCGTGGACAATGAAGAAAACCTAATTTATGCAGTCGAGCTGACTCACGCTAGTCAGCTGATTACGACACACAATGCCAGTGTTGTCCAGAGCAGGGAGGAATGCTTCTGAGGCGTTTTACATGTTCACACATTCCACATGCCGATAAGAGCTGCTAACACTGACACACTGACACAGAGGAACAATAAAGTCTGTAAACCATACTGCACATGAGCAAATCCATCGTTCTCATTTTCGTGATAACCTTTAAGCGAAAAAAGATGCCAAACAGAGCATATATTTAAACAAGTGAAAATCAATTTATCGTCTCAGCCACTTTTTGTCTTTGTCTTGTGTCACACTAAACAGAATATCTTTGGGCTTTAAGAAACTGTGATTGTAAGAAGCTGTTGCACGATTTGTTGACAATCTGCAGATTAATCAGAAAGGAAGCTAAGTATTAGTTGCCGTATTTGTTTGAAATAAGTTCTTTTTGAAGACGGGTCTCCACCAATAATAGGAACAGACCGATATAGGTTTTTTAGGGCTGATCCTGATGTCGATTGTTGGTCATCAAAAAGGACCAATAATCGATATTTGGAACCAATACATTAAATATATTTAATAATTTATTGCTGCTTGTAAGGAGTCCTTGAGATTTTTGAAAGGTGCCGATATATAAAATGCATTATTAATAATAATAATAAGAAGAAGAAGAAGAAGAAGAATATTAATATTAAGTGTTATATTTTAACAGCATGTAATAGCAAAGAACAAGATCATAAAATATTTTTTTCTACACAAACCTTTTTTCTTCTTCCATCTATTCAAATAAAAACACAGATAACATAACTGTGCAGCAACACAAAGTAGTCACACAATAAATGTAACTAAATAAAACACAATCTACTTTGAAATTAGAGTCATTATGACAATAATTAGTATTGTAATAAGTATTACATATTGCCAAAACATATTTAGGTTTGTTCTGCAAAAAGTACTGAAGTAAGTGAATTCCTGTCTTTACACTTTAATAATTTATTCAGATTTCTCTGACACAAAACAATCTGGTTTTTCATGCTCTTTGTGGCGTTTTCTCGTCTTCATTTTTTCAGTGAGCACTAACATGCAATGGAGTGTAAAAGGCTAACAATAAGAGCGACCCACCACAGGTTTTTGTAAACCCTGAACCCTAAGTAGGCCCGTTAATGTCACACAGATTGATGACCAACCGGCTTATCAGCTGTTATTTGCCACATCATGAATGACTCTCTGCCAGCTGAGCTTCTTTTGTGAGAGGGAGCACCAGCTCCCCGGAAACAAAAGCTCCCACAGAGAAGACGAGTCCCTGGGGGGCTGGAAATAGGTGAGGGAGGGGCTCGGCTTGCATGGCCTGGAAACACTGGCCTCCAGGCACACTCTGCTTTACAATGACAACATCTCCAGGGAAAGAGCCCGAGTCCACAGGAACATTACAGGGCCACCACATGTCATCTACCTGCACTGATATGTGTTCAAAGGGCAACAAGCAGCCAGTTAAAGGAAGTCACTGAGCATGTAGATAGTATGTGAAGAATGTGACAACAGGTTTGCACACAAAGACATGAGCGTGAAATGGAAATGAAACTAAATGTCGCATTTGAATATAAGTGAGACTACATTTTCTGTTGAGTAAACAGATCACGTCCAGCACACGGCTGCCTCTCAGCCATCTACTGGGAGTTTATCTTAGGACGCAGGCAGGCCAGACATTAGCATCTTTGGACAGAATTGTACAAAATGGGCCCCTCATCCAATTGTTTGATCCCATTTAAGGGTCAAACAAAGACCTCTGCATGTGCCCCGACTGAGCCTCGGACCAGGGTCACCAGCACCCTCTGACCCCCCTCACAGTGAGGTTGAATGCACGAAACCACTTAACCTACCCAATATATTTAGACACTCTCTAACTCCTACTGGTTGAATACATCTTGCTGGAAAATCTTCATTTAAATGGTACTAATGCATTAGATGTGTAAACTACAATCAGCATAATTCAAGTCACGACATTTGCAAAAGCTAACATTCAAAAGTTTGGTCTTCCATCTCATACGCAGAAGGTTTCCCTGAACATCTAAAACAGAGGCGCCGCTCACGTCATGACTCTGAAGCCATGCGTTGTGGCCGTTATACATCAGCAGCCATGTTCTGCTTAACATGCTGATGAACAAGAAAAAAATCTGACTAGAGTTAAATCCTCTGAAGTAATGGTGAGGAATAAATCTGTAGAATAAAATGAATAGGTCACTTAGTGGACTAAAAACGTGACGGACATAAGACGTGTTGCTATGGACTTCACTTATGCTCTTTTTAATAAGCCTAAACAGAAAGATAAATACATCCTTAGTTAATACTAAGATAGAACAGAATATGAAACATGAACTAGTTCAGTCCTGCACTACCATTAGACCTACACATCTATACTGCAGCTGTGTGTGAAAGAAGAACTGGAAATGTGGCAGCAAGGTGCCAGAATATTGATTTATTCATGGTTTAAAAGCAGTAAAACTATTAGATTTTAATGGTCAGACATTGCAAAGGAAAGATTTTTTGCCCTTTTTTTCTCCTTCCTTTTTCTAACATTCTACCTGTAGATTAAAACTTATTTTCTATGATTTTACTAGATATTATCTGTAATGTAAAAAAAAAAAAAAAAAAAAGCAAAAATCTGTAAAAAAAAAAATCAGTTGAAAAAATGCTGTCCAATTTTTCAATCCTTAACATACACATTGGTTCCCTTCAAATAACAGACAATATCTATAAATTAGCTTTTTGTTGTTGCTTTTTATGTACAGTAAGAAATGAGTGAACTTCTACTTGCACACATAGTAAAAGATAAATGACTGTTTGTCAAAATACAGATTTTTGATATGGACATTATTTAGAGTTTTGACCTAATTTCTCTCTCTCTCTCTCTTTTCGTTTCCTTTAAAATATATATATATATAAATGAATACTAAAAAGTCTGCGTGGACCTCAGACATCCAGTGGACGGAGCTCCACGGTGGACACGAGCCTCGTGGACACAATGTTCACTTGAACTACTTTCTACTGTTTGTCCAGACTGCCCATCTCCACTCATCCCAAACACACGCTGTCCTCTGACAGTTTCAATTTTAAGAACTGCAGTTCGGCACATATGTTGATTTAATTGACACAAGCTGTTAACTAGAGTGTCCACGCTAAATAAATGAATAAATGAATGAATAAATCTGGAACACCAGCTGGACTTAGTCTTATCTCGGCGGACTCACCGTAGCGTTGGAGCAGTTTAACAAACACAGCACCAGCAGCACCAACCACCGTCTCTTGTAGACTTTAAAAACCAGCAGCTTCCTCAGCTCCGGGCTTGGTCCTGCGGAAACAGCCGGGGAAACCGTCTGACTGTCGCCGGAGGCTTCGGCAGGACTTTCCATTACTCCGCCGTCAAGCTGACCGGTTGAGCTAGTTAGCTCGTTAGCTCGCTAGCTAACAACACTGTACAGGCATCCGAGGCATTGCACACTTTAACGTTGCTGTCTTGTCACCAGGTGGGTAAAAGCCGAGACAAAACGGCGTGTTTCCGTTGAGAACAACCCGTAAATCCACTGTGTTAACTTCTGGCGGATTATAATGTCACTTAATCTCACGATTAGGCGCCGGGCAGCGGCTGGAAAAAAGTCAACAATCAACAATCAGGTAACCGTCATTGTACTGTACGGAGATCTTCTACTGGGAAGATGAATCACTACGTTGGTTTTAAACGGCACTGAAAAGAACAGCTGGTCCATACAGCAGTCCTCAACTGTATTCATACACTTCCATTAAAGAAGAGGCAAAATTCACAATAGTCACTCAAATAACTAGAAACAGAAAAAAATAGTAATAAATAAAAATTTGCTAAATTATAATTTAGTGAAATAAGACATTGCTTTTGAATTTTGGTT